GAAAGAAATCTTTTTTTGTTTTGTTTTGTTTTGTTTTTCTCAGACAGGGTTTCTCTGTCTGGGATCCATCTGCCTCTGCCTCCCAGTGCTGGGATTAAAGGTGTGCACCACCTCAGAAGAAAATCTTTTTTTTTTTTTATTTATTTTATTTTACAATACCATTCAGTTCTACATATCAGCCACGGGTTCCCCTATTCTCCCCCCTCCCACCCCCAGAAGAAAATCTTAATGAAGAACTGTCTAGATCAGGATAGGCCATGGTGGTGTTGTTTGGTTTTGCTCTTTTGGGGGCCTACCACCCAGCTCTCAAATAAATCATACACGGAGGTTTAGTCTTAATTATGAATGCCTGGCCTTAGCTTGACTTGTTTCTAGCCAGCTTTTCTTAAATTATCCCACCTTTTGCCTTTGGGCTTTTACCTATCTCCATTTCTGTATGCCTTTCATTATTTCTTCTCCATGGCTTTCTGTGTAGCTGGCCCCTGATGTCTTCCTCCTTCTCTGGTTACTCCTTCAATCTTTTTCCAGTTTTCTCCCTCTATATATTCTCTCTGCCTGCCAGCCCTGCCTATCCTTTCTCCTGACTCACTATTGACTATTCAGATCTTTACTAGACCATCAGGTGTTTTAGACAGGCAAAGTAACACAGCTTCACAGAGTTAAACAAATGCAATGTAAACAAAAGTAACACACCTTAAAACAATCTACACCATGGACATGTTTTTAGTAGATTATCTTGATTACATGAAGTGGAAAGATCTGGCCACTGTGGATGGCACCATTCCTTAGGCAAGAAATTCTGGTCTGTATAAGAGCAGAGAAATGCATTAATTCATGGCTCCCTGCTCTTAACTGTGAATATACCATGACTGCTCCAAGTTCTTGCTGCCCTGACTTCTTTACAAGGATGAACTGTAACCTGGAATTGTAAGCTAAAATAAAACCTTTCTCCTTGAAGTTACTTTTATCCAAGTATCTTATCACAGCAATGGGGAACAAAATTACAGAATATCCTTTAAGTAATATCTTCCTTTTCCCTGTCAACTCCCTAACCCAGGTCCTGTGTCTGTCTGTCTGTCTGTCTCTCTCTCAACAGGGTTTCTCTGTGTAGCTTTGGAGCCTTTCCTGGAATTCACTCTGCAGCCCAGGCTAGCCTCAAATTCAGAGGTCCGCCTGCCTCTGCCTCCGGAGTGCTGGATTAAAGGCGTGCGCCACCACCGCCCGTTTCTAGTATTTTCATAATAGGGTATGGGAGAGAGGTGGATGGTGTCATGGTAGCTTTGTGCTGTCAGCTTAGCTAAGGTAGAACGATGGGTTCCAGAATGTCCCTCCTATAGTAGTTTCTATTGAGTGAGTGTTGAAAAGTAAAGAATTGGGGCTTTTATTCCTAACTCTGGGAGAAAGCCTAAATTCTTAAAGTTTCTCAGTTGTACCAGTATCTTCATTACTATCTTCAAATGGTGAGCCCTGAAAGTTTATGCTACTGAGGTGATACACGGTGGGGCCTTCAGGATGGGACCAGGCCAGCATGCAAAGGTCAACCATGTGATTACAGAGTTGGGGCTTTGAGCTGCATATTAGTCTGAACCTCCTGGGAGAGAAGCAAGATTGGGTTCAATCACTTAGCCAAAAACTCTATTATGATGACCTCTTAATGGAACGTAATATAAGCTGGAAACTGTACAAATTTTATTAGCGTGTTTCCGTGTGTTTGGGCCAGGACACGTGTGGAGGTGTGTGCCCACTCCTGGGGAATAAGACTCTGGTTGTCAGACTTTCACAGCAAGGACCTTTATCTGTGGAGCCATCTTGCCTGCCCTCCAATAAAAATTCTGAATGGACAGTAAAGCTCAGATGTTTCCTGGCCAACCATGATGCTTTGCTTTGCTAGGAAGGTGATCCAACCTGAGGCTGAGGGAAGACAACATGGAAACTGCTTCTGAGAACTTCCCTGTTCTTTTCCTGTACATCTCCTTATGGGACTAGCTTCATTTTCACCTTTCTGCTATAGCAAAACTCTATCATTGTGTATAGTTCTTTCCCGAATTCCAGGTGAGTCTTTGTTGTAAACTATCAACGCTTAAGGTATAATGGAAACCCCTAAACTTTGTAGCCAATTGGTCAAACCTATGGCCTGGGAGTTTCTGCTCTCCCAGCTCCCATCTGAATTGAGGGTGGTCTCAAGAACTTGAGTCTTTACTAGAACTTTGGTCAACTCTAGGAAGTTACTCTTAGAATATCGATGTTGACCAAACAGAACCGTCTAGAGAACAGGAGATAGAAAATGGCCAGGTAGGGACCCCAAAGCAGCAGTCCTCAGAGTGCCCTTGTTGAGAGAAAAGAGGTGTGGTTCCTATGTTTTCTCCTAAATAAGTTACTTCTTGGCCCTATGGTCACGAAGTGAACAAGGAGCTGCCATATACTTCTACTGCTATGGACCCGTTTTACCATGCCTCCTACTCTATAACAGACCAACAAAAAATAACAAGTTGCCTGATTGGCTATGCCTTCTATTCTATGATACATGAAAATTTCTCTAGAAATGCACGCACACACACACACACACACACACACACACACACACACACACACACACACAAATTCCTCCTTCATTTCTGTCATCTTGCCACAGCTACAAAAAAGGTAACTAAAATAATAGTAAAGCAGCAGCAGGCATGGCTTAGAATCTAGAAGACACGGGAGGATAATGGGCATTATGGCACTTTATGCATCGCTTACTGATTGGCTTAGCTCTGCGTGGGCAGTTAAGTCTTGGATTTTCTAGTTCCTATCACATGGGGCACAGAACTGCAGAGAAAATTCTGTAGCTAAGAATGAGACAGATGGAAGTCAGTTCTTGGCCTTCTCCAGTTCCTTCCTGGTCAGTGCTGCTCTTCAGTTGTCAATCAACTGACAGTCTGACTGACCCATGGTGACTCCAGACCCAACACCAAATGTCTGTTGGTCAGCACATTAGTAGATCTGAAATCAAACCTGGGTAAGTTTGCATCCCTATAATAAATCTCTCCTTCTACATCATTTAGTTCTGCTATGCTAATTTTATTGTGAAAGATACAGACCATCCATTGACTTAAAAATAAGCAAACAAAACCACTAGGAATTAAACAGGAACGCTATGGCTTAGTTTCCCCAACCCTGCTGCACATTATTTTTAAGAATACTGACACCAATACCCCCACTCCTAAGATTTTAGGGTACACCCTAGAAATAAAGTATTATTAATCCTTTATAAAGGAGAGGTTCCTAGGTTATAGTAACGGAGCTTTCAACTGTTGTCTACATTGAATTCTGAGGCTACCTCGAACTGATTGTTTACAAAGTACAGATATTTAGTTTACTGGTTCAACTGGGTCAAACTAAAGGGAAATTGTCACTGGCTCTTCCAAGGCTTACACCCAAAAGCCATTAAGCCGAGACTATTTCTGATGACCTGTGGACTGACATGACAGTCCAAGCTAAAGTGCGATAAAGTATTAAGTTTCCATAGAGAGACTTAGAGATATCAGGCTTATTGGAAATAAAACTGCTTAAGCAAACCATTTCTTTAAACAAACAAACAAAACCTTAACCTATGCCAAGTGAGGACACAGAGCCTGGACATTACAACATCTGGGTGTAGAAAGCAGACAAAGGAACTCATGTTCACAGTGCTCTACACAATCCATGTAATAAAAGTCTAGCCAGGCATCAAAGCAAATCTACAGAAGATGCTGTGAGATGGACAATCTTTACCAAAGTGTGAACCGACATGATTCAAAGCACACTGCTAACTTACTGGATAGCCCCCTGACGTCAGTGATGCCAAAATAAAGAGACACGTTCTCTTTTTAAGTATTTAATATATTAAAAAAAGGAACATAGTATAAATGCTGTGGTATAAAGAGGATCCACATTTCTCACAGAATAAATTCGTAAAAATGACTTGCAGTGAATGAGCAACAGGATCTTGAAACATGAAAGTTTTGTTAAACAAAATTTCAAAATTATAATCCCACATTTTGCCATTTTATCTATGTATTAACATTGCTGTTCCTCTAAGAATTTTCATCAACACTGTCTTTTTATGTAAAAATATACATGTAGATATTTAACTTCCTGAGTGACTAGTCATACATCAAATATAATTTAATCAGACAATTTTAAAGTTCTTAGAATGAACTAGTATAGATTTATAATGTATGTTTAATTGTGATAAAATTCAAGAGCATACCACAGAATTTGTACTTAAATTCTGAGTTAGAAAATATGATTTATTCCCAAACAAAACCAATAAACTGTTTTAAATAAATTGTTAATAAA